TGCCAAGAAGAAATAAACTTGATTTTTAAAAGGCCAAGTGTAAAATACAGCTAAATGTGTATAATAGAAGCTCAGGAGAAGGTCAAGGTTTGAAAGCATATATAATTAGTATTTTAAAACAGTAAAAAATAATAATAATAATAAAAAAAAACAAAACAGTAGAGTACTTGAGAATACCCAGCATAATATGTGCATCAAAGATAAGAGGTTTAAAAATGTTAACATATTAAAAGAAGTGCATGGAAAGAAGATAATGTTTATCATTTTGGGGTGGGTGAAGGGATCTCCCTCAGTTTGAGAAGGACTGGATTAGAGAAATGAGGAAGATTTTCTACTGTGACAAGGGTTACACATTAAAAGCAGAATAGAAACTTTTCAGGAAGACCAGAGTAGGGGTCAGGGTCGAGGGGGTGTACTTGAAAGTAGCAGTTATCACACATCACCCAGGTCCACTGGCATAATGTAGTCAACATTGACCGTAATCTACAGCCTACTTTGGTCAATAGTGACTGGGATCTTTAAAGCTTTTGAGCAGCCGCCTAAGGTACAATATTACTCTCTCTTTGTCCAGAGTAGCCTAAAGAAAATCTAAGTCATATGGAAACCATTAGTTTAGTGGATTAATAGACCAATCGGACTTTGACCTGTACAGCTTTGAGACCCAAAGAACTAGATGGTGTCCAGTTACTACAACCAACTACTGTAAAAGAAGTTCCTAGATAGAGTAGGAAGAGATAGCTCAAAACTCAGCCATAAAAATGCCCAAGTTAACTTGGGATCCCTGACAGTATGGCCCTTAGTCACTCACTCATCCGGCCTCCAGTGAACTCACTCTTCTGACTCAATTTTCAGCTGAACGTTAGACAGATCTATATGGGAACAATAACACCAGGGAGGTCTACAGTCCTTAGGATAGCCAAAGTTCAGAAGGGTTGGGAGAGAAGGAGGAGTGGAAATGGAAAACACATGAAGAAAGTGAAAAATAATATCAGGGAATAAACTTAAATATGAGAAAGTATTGATGGCATTCATTGGAAAAGTCAGGGAGCAAATCAAAATGTAGGTGTGGCGGTGGGCGATGCAATGTGTCTACGCATACCAAACTCAACAGTAGTATAAAAATTATTCACTAACTTGTGTATGGATTACAGATGAATTTCATTTTCTTTATGCTTTACTTTTATTTTCCAAAGTTTAGTAATGAACCATTTGGTAATTAGAGAAAAAATATTGTAAGATATTAGGGCATATATAAATTTATTATCTAGCCATTAAAATGTTTTAGGGCAATATTAATATGGGAAAATATTCATAACAAAGACAAGATAAACAGATTGGTATAGTCCATATTTTAAACTTAAAATAAGTTTTTGTCACAAAAGGCCAAGTAATGTATGAGAAAGAACAAAGTTTTTTATTGTTGTAAAAGAAACAAATCCAGAAAAGTATTTCCATACCAAAAGAATACATTTTGATAGTTCCCAGGGGTAGGAGGGAAAAGGAGAAAGAGGAAAGCAAGAGGCTGGAGGGTGGACAGGTGTTAACTAGGGTGAAAGGGAAGGTTATAGTCTATGAGGGAAAAGAGGGGAAAAGAAGGCAGGGGACACTCCAGGCCAGCTATTGGAGGTGTGAAAAGGTATTTAAATAGTTCAATACCAAAATGGTGATCTGAAATGTAAATCTCCACCTAATCTGTTCTACTAGGTGATAACAGCTGGTTCGAGAGTAGGCTAGAGCCTGGAAAACTATCCTCACTGGACAAAGAAAGTCCAGGATTTTTATAGCTCCAAATAGTGGGCTGGCTTAAGGAGAGGGATATTCAAGCAGTTACATTCTTATGAGGCTGGCAGGGTAAAGGGGGTGAGGGTGGGGGCTGGGTGCACAGCACCACTGCAGGTAATAATTCAAGGTCTAACAGGATAGTTTACATTTCTTGCTAATTGGGCAGGCAGTCCAGAGACATCTCTAGAGCATCACGGTCTGTCAGGAGAGCAGGGTAGGAGGAAGGGGAAGGGGGGCTAGCTGTTAGCAGGGGGTTGAAGGCAGTTTAAAACAAAATGGAGTTCCTCATGCTAAGCTGGGTTACTACAATCCACAAAGTTAAATTATATATACAGAGATACCTCCGTTGTCGAATCCAGTTCATTCCCAATTCATGTTCAAACATTGAAAAGTTCGAAAACAGAGCACATTTTTCCCCATAAGAAATAATGGAAATAATTGATTCTGAAGCTAAAAATTACACTTAAACATTCATTTTTCCAGGACTTCAAATCACTATGGAGGCTTTTAGCTTTCTCATATACCAGTCACTGTTTTCTGATATGCTGTCTCTACCGAGTTGTTTCTGATTTAACCAAATGAACTTTTCAATCTCTTCCATGGTTTTGTTTTGTGGTTAACAGTTTCACACCTTTTGCTACATTAGCTGCTTAAATCACATTTTTTCCCTAAAAAAATGTTAATAATGTTAACTTAGCGATGTTGCAGTCAGTCGCCAAAAAGAAAAAAATTTAAAACAGTGGCGACCTGAGTCAAATTTCACAATGATTTCTTTAACTCTATTGTGGTTCTCACAGTTTCCTCTTCGCTTTACAGCTGTTACCACTAACTTTGTTTGGAGCCACGATTATAATATTTTATGTAAATAAAACATGAAAGGTACAATGATGAATATATTCAAAGCACTACTAACCCAGTCGTCTGAGCAGAGTGGCACTTGGACTGAAGTGTCACCTTTTTGCGTCAGTGGCAAGAGGAGGCATATGACTCGCTCTCCGCTTGCACAGGTTTTTTTCAAGTTGGATTTTCTATTTGATCCTGGAGCAAAGTTGTGAACACCAAGCAGATAATGGCCTGATATGTGGCAATTTTAAGGATTGCTTGGATAGAAGCTGAATTGTATTGACTTGAGTAGGGGATAAAAAATTTTTGTTACGTGCCATGAACTTGTTTCTGCCTCACAATGACCCATTGTACAACAGAACAGAACACCTCCGGATCCTGTGCCATCCTCACAATTGTTATGTTTGCGTCCATTGTTGCAAGCACTGTTACTCCATCTCATGTGAGTCTTCCTCTCTCTTGCTGACCTTCTACTTTACCAAGCATGGTGTTCTTATCCAGGAACTGATCCCACCCAATGTGTCTAAAGTATATAAGACAACTACTTATGAGTAGCGTATTATGAGAGCACCATTTTTCTTACAAAAGTTATGTAATTTTTCTACTGTAAACTTGGGCTTACTTTGTAAAGCTAGGTTGGAAGAGGCAGACAAAACAAGTTTTGTCAGTGTGGGTAAGTGAAGACTTAAAAAATTGATCTGACGCTGAAGACAATGGGTGCACAAGAAAATGTGGTGAAGAAACCGGATGATTCTTGGCTACCAAAAGATATAACACCTGAAGTCACTGAAGACAATGGGTACACAAGCAAGTGTGGTGAAGAAAGCTGATGGTGC